GGTTCCACCTCCTGGACACAACAAGGAGCCGTACGTTCACCACGTCGTCGATAAACTCGCGTCCGCCCATCAGGTTTGAAGAGTTGGAACCTGCTCTCGTCACTAAACAGCACTCGCCGCCATTCCCTTTGTTGCCATCGCTGAGTTTGCCTGCACCACGTCAATCTGGCACGTCGATGTTGACGGGTCAAGGTCATGCCCTTGAAAGGGCGATAAGCCCGGAGACCATAATGTCGTATGTGGCAATTATCTGTTCAATGTATGCATATTTACATTAGCGATACATGTCTGTGGTAGATATTTAGTTCCAATAGCACCAAAAGTAGCACATGCAAGTAAATAATGATATTCGTACTCTATATCTCGATCACATTAAGGACAGTTTCTCATGCATGAGGAGCGGTCGGGTAACCTAGTGGTTAAAGCGTTCGCTCGTCACTCCGAAGACCCGGGTTCGAATCCCGACATGGGTACAATGTGTGAAGCCCATTTCTGGTGTCCCCCGCCGTGATATTGCTGGAATATTACTAAAAATCGGCGTAAAACCATACTCACTCACTCACTCATGCATGCATGAATTGGGTTTTTTTGCCACTCAACTCCATTATTTCTCAACCGTAATAGTCCCCATAACTACATAAAAATACTTTGAAGCTTTAATTCGCTAATTCCATAGAGATACTCTTCTGGTTCTAACAAACGTTGGGGGCACGGGTGGCCCAGTCGTCTAAGGCGCCGCGATTCGCTGTGCAGAGTTGCGTCCCTTGGGCACGCCAGAAACCTATGATTGTGGGTTCGAATCACGGTTCGCCCCGATTATGTTTCTAGGTTTGTCAGCACCATACCCGTGCTCGTGGGTTTCACCGAAGTGGTAAACGTCTGAGACCTGCATCACTTCGGGCTTTCCTCCCACATTAAGCTGACACGCCGCGATATCACTGGAATATTGTTAAAAGCGGTGTTAAACCCAATCACTCACTCACTCACTCTAACAAACGTTGATATTCTCTATAAAGGTCATATCTTGAACTGTAATTAACAGCAGGTATCCAATTTTGATGAAACATATTAATAGCACACCCCTTCAACATAAGTAGTAAATATTTTTTGTCTCAGTCTGTTTATGACAGCCAAACAAAACCATCTAATATTTGAAGACCAATGTTTCAAAACAAAGTAACATACTTTACGCTTTTTGGGGTAGGAGGTCATGCAGTGATAATATTTTCGCCAGTGGGGTAGGAGGTCATGCAGTGATAATATTTTCGCCAGTATTCAACACTACGAACAAGTTAGTTGATAAACATTGGATATCGGTCACATTCACATAAACCATAGCATAAGGTGTTTGTAGGCCTCTTTGTAAGATTTTTCGAGGGAATAGGTGGGTTTTCTCCATGCTCTTAAATCTATTGATCCCCCCAATTTCGGACGCGTACAAAAGAATCGGACTAATCTGACAATCAAATAACAAAATTAATCAAAAACACTTCTGGGGCAGTGATAGAGTTGGAGTAAGTAACTCAAATAAAGCCTTTTGGTACGTAGAGCTAGATCAGCAATAGATTGACTTAGACTTAACTTACTGGGGTGAGTGAGTGAGTGAGTATGGTTTTACGCCGCTTTTAGCAATATTCCAGCAATATCACGGCGGGGGACACCAGAGATGGGCTTCACACATTGTACCCATGTCGGGATTCGAACCCGGGTCTTCGGCGTAACGAGCGAACGCTTTAACCACTAGGCTACCCGACCGCCCCCATTTCATTATAATGTTCCACTGCATACGGCATGAATCTTCCTAAACTGGAAGTAATATCAATCAAGCGGAAGTGTGTGTAACTTTCTTCTCGAGCGAGTATTTTTTATTATTTTTGAAATTTCTGTCTTAATGTAACATGAGTTTCCACAACCGGAAGTGAAGTCATTAAATTGTGCATGTAAATGTCCTATTAAAAAGATTATAATATTCGAAGAAAGTATTTAAATGTTCAAGTGAAAGCGCTGAAATCACACGCGCAATAATCGGCTTCCACAACACACCGACCCGTCAAGATCCGGGTTAGACCAGGTCTTCAGCAATTCTTGCTTGTCGTAAGAGGCGAGTAAAGGGATCGGGTGGTCAGGTTCACTGACTTGGTTGATGCATGTCATCGTATCCCAAATGCGTAGATCGATGCTCGTGAGACCCGTGAAGATCCGGGGTAGAATAGGTCTTCAGCAACCCATGCTTGTCGTAAGAAGCGACTAACGGGATCGGGTGGTCAGACTCGCTGACTTGGTTGATGCATGTCAATCCCTGGATTGTCTGGTCCAGACTCGATTATTTACAGACCGCCGTAATATAGCTGGAATATTGCAGAGTGCGGCGTTAAACAACAACCGAACGAACGAACGTTCAGACAGTAACTTCTTTGATAGGCATTTAGAAGTTGGAGTACTAAGTAAGGATAAGAATTTATGGATGAACAACTTCTTTATTACAATAAGGAGCGACGTTTCGGTGGAGGTTCAAACACCGTTATCAAGCAAGTGATTTACAGAGTGTGGTTGGCAAGTATATATACAAGTAGGAGGCAATGTTTATATACAGTAGAGAAGATATTGTTATACTGGAGTAGAGAAGCCTGCTATGTAGACTCGATTATTTACAGACCGCCGTCATATACCTGGATTATTGCTGAGTGCGGCGTTAAACAACAGACCAACCAACAAACAAATCATACGTCAGAGATTGTGTCAATCTCGCTATGTGGTAATAGTTGGATTGTAACACTATTTTTTTAGTTTATTATTATCATAATGTAAGGGAGGTAATTGTAATACTATGACAAAGAGTAAGTCCCCCTATGTTCATTATTGCAAGTGCTTATTGTTTTTTCACGTGAAGAATAAAGTCTCAGCTGGTACCTAAGTAGTGTTAAGTGATTAATGGTATATTTTGTGTCTACGTTGTCACTTACTTGCTAATGACACACGCTCATTTATAATTTGTGTAGTTTGATTATAATAAAAATAATAAAACTACACAAATTATAAATGAGCGTGTGTCATTAGCAAGTAAGTTGGTTGGTTGGTTGGTTTGTTGTTTAACGCCGCACTCAGCAATATTCCAGCTATATGACGGCGGTCTGTAAATAATCGAGTCTGAACCAGACAATCCAGTGATTAATATCATGGGCATCAATCCACGCAATTGGGTTTGATGACATGCATCAACCAAGTCAGCGAGCCTGACCACCCAATCCCGTTAGTCGCCTTTTACGACAAGCATAGTCGCCTTTTACGGCAAGAATGGGTTGCTGAAGACCTATTCTACCCCGGACTCTTCACGGGTCTAGCAAGTAAGTGACAACGTGGACACAAAATATACCATTCTTAATGGTCAGTTCTAATGTTTCTATTCTACAGCAAAACCTTGTAAACTCAAACATCATTACTTCCAAATACTTCTTTAAACATGTATAGAAAAGTCCTCAAAGAATCAGATCGGCACTGTTTTGTAACAGCGGCATTCCGCGTGTCATGGATAATGGATGACTCAAATACTTTTCACAAAGAAGACTCAACGTTTTTATTAACAGTAACTGTGAAAGCGACATTTCAGAATAGATCATACAACATTATATATAGTAGGTGAAGGATTAACACTAACAACAATTTGTATACATGAGCGAGATTAACTTGAGTAGGTTAAATAATACTAGTAATTGAATAATATTGTAACAACTTGATGGACAGAGAACGCATGATGAGGAAGCCACTTAAACCGAATTTAGTAAACATAGGTGGGAAAACTTGTTCACCAATCCAGTCCGTGTACAATTTACGGAAATAAAATATGTTAATAAACCATAAAGGTTCGCAAAGGTTCATAAAGTTTTAAAAGTTCAGAAATTTCAATTAAAAAGGTATTCATTTTATGTAATGTAATTACAAACATTTGGTATCAGGATCAATATTGTTCAGATTAGTGAAATATGAACATATTTTCGATATTATTACATTACTTCAAAAGGCATGTTTATTTTTTTATTTAATGGTGTTGCAGCACAAAATGTTCCTATACGATGAAATAATTTTATAGCTAACTTGTCTTGCAACTGATTCTGTTATTGCACATCGTCGTGTCTTATTTGTTTTTGATTTAAGAAAGTTACATTGGGAAAGCTTCATGGTGATGAGTAATAATTCAGTAGGAAAGATGTAACCAAACTTTCAAAAGAAACTTTACCATTGTCTTAATACAATATATGGATAATGATAAGCCAACATACGAAATACATAAATAGTTATAAAAATATTTTTTTAATCATTCCAAACTGTAAATTATTACACTTAACATATTTATGTTATGCAGCAACAATCAGAAGAGGGAGACACGCCCTGTCCCAGACTGATTTACCTGCCCTTGAGTGATCCTTTTCATGCATTCGTGACCAACTCGTGTTATTCCGGGACAAGCCGAATAGCGACTCGTGCCCCTTTTATGGCCATTTTTGCGACCGGGTTCCGTCTTAGCGCAAACGGGCATACCTAAAACAATTGTCAACTCGTTGCGTAATGGTTCACATACATTTCCCCATATATTACATATGTTTCAGATGCAATTTAAAGCACATCTGGACATGCGGAACTATACAGTATGATTGAGCGTTTTTAACTGTGTCTTGGGTATATTTTGAGATGAAAGACATATGTAAAATCAAAAATTATTTCTGAGGGATTCTTTGATGCATGTCATCGATCCCAATTGCGTGGATCGATGCTCATGATGTCAATCACTGGATTGTCTGGTCCAGACTCGATTATTTACAGACCGCCGTCATATAGCTGGAATATTGCTGAGTGCGGGGTTAAACAGCGGACCAACCAACAACCAACCTACGTATGAGCTGATCAATGATGTTTAGTTTTCACTCAGTCTGTAATCCCCTACTTTTGTGGCAGAGTATATATATATATATATATATATATATATCTGCATTTCGTTACGCGATTTTGATCGGACTATGCATAGACTCGTCAGTCCAGCCAAATTATAACTCCACAGTACCAGGCAAGGTTGGCAAGGGTGGAAACTGGACTTTTGAAGTCAGTTAACTCACTACATCTTAATCATACAAATATTCGTATAAATTTGACATATATATTGTGATCCAAATCCCAGTAGATGGCTCGTGCTGATGCGGTTTGTATCTGATGTTGTCGTGGAAGTACCACGTCTTTGGGCAGCGTTCAGGATAGTGGTTGCCATAACGCCTGTGGACAAATAAAAGAAAATGATTCAATAATACAATGTGTGCGTGTGCGTGCGTGCGTGCGTGCGTGCGTGCTTGTGTGCGTGCGTGTGTGACTAGTGGCTTGGTCCCATACACAATATTTAAGGTTCATGCATTCAACTCAAATAAAACTTGGGACAACCATTTATTCATTTGAAACATTAATAACTAGTAATAGTCGGTTGGCCACCAGCAGAAAAGAGGCTTAGTTAAGATTTTCGTTCCCACATTTTCCTGTATACCTTAAACCTTTTCTATTGCATAAAGGAGGTATCTGTACACAATTTTCATTGGGTAGTAAGCTTGCAAGTGTGTGCTTGAATTTTCAGGGGGTCAAAATTGCATAAATTGAAGGAAAAATGCATAATTTGACCAAATTGGCTGTAACATTTTTATTAGGTCATTAAACTATCCATATTATGTCATTGATTACAGGTAGTATGTTCGGTTATCTGAATTTGGCAAACATTTTGTTTCATATAACTGTTATTCTAATTATCAGTGGAAATATTGGTTTAAAATAATGTTTTTTTACTTCATTTTCAAATCTTGTGAGTAGGTAAAACACTAATTCCATTGAATTGTGACAATAAAACCATTATAACTGGGTATTAAAATCTGATAATAGAGTGTGTACATAGAATAAGTCCCAACACGAAATGATAATGTCATAACTACATACAGCCAGTTTCACACCCTTGTTCTCGAATGTACGTTACGGCACATGCCTCTACAATATACATACCGACGCTTGGTGCAAGGCGTGGGACGCTCATCGAAACACTTCATACTCAAAAGGTTGAAATAAACTATCCCTATACCGTCTGCAGCTTTATCCGATGACTTGCCGAGGCAGTCGTTGAACCGTCTGTCGCACGAACATTCACTTCTGAAATCACAACAGGAAGCTTCATGAATTTCATAGGTTTTGAAATAATGAAGTTGATGGTTTAAGAACGATTCGTGTTTCTTTGGGACTGAAACGTAACCTCTAAAGCAGTTAGATGAAGGAAGTGGCTCTTTGACTTGGCATTTAAGAGGGTTCTGATGGGTGGGTCCCATAAGCAGTAAGCAGTAAAATTTAGGGTAAAAATATTCCTAAATCGGCCATGGAGGGACATGGGACTTTAATTCTGCTTTCGTTTCATCCTGACAATTCATATTTTTGATACCTGGTAAAATCTCAAATCGCTAAACATTCTAGACTGGTCCCCTGCGTCAGTTGCGCAGCCTGCTTTCTGTGGCGAAGCATTTGGGTCTTAAAGACAGACTGTTTTTGAACATTTTAATAATTTTACGATAAGCAGTAAATTATTTATTTACGTTAAGCAGTTATTTTTTGGTATTTTACGATAAGCATTTACGATAAAAAAAAGATGAATTTTACGTTTACGATAGTGTTTGAAGAGTGTTTTACGTTAAGCATTAAAACCCATCACGACCCTCATTTAAGGAAGAGGTAGACTAAACTGACGACCAAAAGAAACTTTACCATAGTTATAAATCACCCTAGTTTAATAGATGCATGAAGTAAAAAGATCAAAATCTCAAAATAATGAACATTTAAAATGACAGTCATACAGTATCCCATATTGGTATGACAGGTTCCCGAATTGAGGTGGGGTGGCAAAAACAAGATTTCAACGTAATGGAGAAAGGTAACACACATCTAAAATGTTCAAAGACACTTCGGGCGGTTGGGTAGCCTAGTGGTGAAAGCCTTCGCTCGTCACGCCGAAGACCCGGGTTCGATTCCCGACATGGGTACAATGTGTGAAGCCCATTTCTGGTGTCACCCGCCGTGATATTGCTGGAATATTGCTAAAAGCGGCGTAAAACCATACTCACTCACTCAAAGACACTTCACATTTATAGCGTGTATGACCACCCCCTGCTACAAGACACGCAAAAAATTGTCCGTCGCACAGAAACAGTCAGTCGTCTGATGACGTCACGTCGGATACGTCGCTATTCGTTTTTGAGGGCCTAGATCAGTTCAGACGGCTGGCTGGAGGATATGGTAGCTGTCGAAGACATCCCTGAGGTGATCTATGGGGGACATGTCTGGGGAGCGTGCAGGCCACGGCAACACGTTGACGTTGTTGGCTGCAATGAAGTTCTGTACGATTCGGGCTGTATGGGGTCTGGCGTTGTCATGGTGATAAAGGACACCACGTGGTTGCTGTTGTAGAAATGATAGGACAATCGGACGAAGAATATCATCCATGTAACGCCGAGCTGTCAAATTTCCGTTAACGATGGCCAGTAGTGTTCTCTCCTGCCCACTAATTCCTCCCCACACCATAACACACCCTCCACCATACGGCACGACCTCCTGAACGCAACATGCCGCCGTTCGTTCTCACCTTCCATCAGCTCTGAGTAGACAGAACGGGCATTCATCAGTGAAGACTAACCTCTGCTGGTCTGCTAACGACGTACAGTCCGGGCCCAATAACCGTTCTCTTTATGGTCTGAAAGCCCTAATTCCTTAAGCCCTAAGTCGGGGCATTCGTCGCTGACGGGGTAGAATAGGTCTTCAGCAACCCATGCTTGCCGTAAAAGGTGACTATGCATGTCGTCAAAGGCGACTAATGGGATCGGGTGGTCAGGCTCGCTGACTTGGTTGATTCATGTCATCGATCCCAATTGCGTGGATCGATGCTCATGATATCAATCACTGGATTGTCTGGTCCAGACTCGACTGTTTACAGACCGCCGTAATATAGCTGGAATATTGCTGAGTGCGGCGTTAAACGACAAACAAACAAACCCAAACATTCGTCGCTGATGACTTCACTGTCAGGAATCGATTCCGCAGATGCAAAGTACGCAAGTACCGGTCCTCATTGGGCGTAGTTAGTGTGGGTTCCCTCTTATTGTCCTATCAGGAACTTTGCATCAGTTTAGTCACAGCAACACGGGAGCAACCAAAAGTACTAGCAACGTGGGCATGGATGACTCACATCTGTATCATACCCAGGGCCCGCTCGCGTTGCTCGGGTGTGAGTCGTGGCATTTCTGTGGTGTGTTTTTTTTATCAGCTTGAGTGCCTGACATGCGGTCATTATCATTTATATACCCTTATTATACGTATACGTGTCGGCTGCCAAAGCGGCACGTGCTTTTCTTTCACTTTTTTGCATTTTCTGAAAAAAGAAACGTGCCGTGGACGTGTATCACTTTCTGCACAGCGCATTGTTGTGTTTGTAGGATGTGTTTTGCATTGGCTTTGTTGCATTGAACTTGTGTTTTTAAAATTTTGCAATTTCATTTCCAAAGTGGTAAAGATCTTTTGGCCGTCAGTTTATTCATTCATATAAAAAAATCCTCGAAATACGTTTTTAGTTTTAATTAAAAAAATATATATCACAAAATTATGTTTTTGCAATTAAATGGTATTACTTCGACCTCAAGTGGCCTTGAAAACAACAGCCATTAACAATGGATATTTAATTAGCTTTAGGATGAAATATTTGTTGTTATGCCAGTTTGTCAATATCCCCTTCTCTAATATGACAAAATGGTCGTTAGTAAAGAGAATACGAATATACAACGTACATGAGAGCAAATGAGAGGGACTTTTCAGAACCATGACAGAGTTGGTGTTTTCAGTTAAGCCCTAGTTGGTTTGCTCACTGTCATGGCCAGCATGACCTAGCTGGTACGTTCAGCGATGACCTACTGTGTGTGTTCGATCATGACCCAATTGGTGCCTTCAGTCATGACCTACTGTGTGTGTGTTCGATCATGACCTAATTGGTGCCTTCAGTCATGACCTACTGTGTCTGTTCGATCATGACCTAGTTGGGGGGCACGGGTGGCCCAGTCGTCTAAGGCGCCGCGATTCGCTGTGCAGAGTTGCGTCCCTTGGGCACGCCAGAAACCTATGATTGTGGGTTCGAATCCCGGTTCGCCCCGATTATGTTTCAAGGTTTGTCAGCACCATACCCGTGCTCGTGGGTTTCACCGAAGTGATAAACGTCGGAGACCTGCATCACTTCGGGCTTTCCTCCCACATTAAGCTGACACGCCGCGATATAACTGGAATACTGTTAAAATCGGCGTTAAACCCAACTCACTCACTCACTCATGACCTAGTTGGTGTGTCCAGTCATGACCTACTGTGTGTGTTCGATCATGATCTAGTTGGTACGTTCAGCGATGACCTACTGTGTGTGGTCGAACATGATCTAGTTGGTACGTTCAGCGATGACCTACTGTGTCTGTTCGATAATGACCTAGTTGGTGTGTCCAGTCATGACCTTCTGTGTGTTTGATCATGATCTAGTTGGTACGTTCAGCGATGACCTACTGTGTCTGTTCGAACATGACCTAGTTGCTGCGTTCAGCGATGACCTACTGTGTCTGTTCGATCATGACCTAGTTAGTGTGTCCAGTCATGACCTTCTGTGTGTGTTCGATCATGATCTAGTTGGTACGTTCAGCGATGACCTACTGTGTCTGTTCGATCATGACCTAGTTGGTGTGTCCAGTCATGACCTACTGTGTCTGTTCGATCATGACCTAGTTGGTGTGTCCAGTCATGACCTACTGTGTATGTTCCATCATGATCTACTTGGTGCGTTCAGTCATGGCCTACTGGGTGTGTCCCAGCATGACCTAGTTCCTGCGTTTACAGCCATGGTCAAGTTGGTGTGTTAAGCCATTACCCAGTGAAAGTATTCACAAGCTTGATATAATTGGTGAGTTTGCAGCCATGAGCTAAAGCATTTTCCTGACACCGCATACTTTGAAACAGAATTACCTGAGTTGTTTTGGGTAAATTAAGTCTTCTACTGTACTGCACACTTAGATTCATTCAGTGCGAATAAATACCTTGTCACCAAACCGTAGTTCCGAAGCCCATGTTTTGAGGACCATCTTGCCCCTGGGATTGAACTGGGGCAGTTGTCGTGGTCTCGGCAGCATCTGTCAGTCTCACGATATCTTCCGAGATCTGTGTAGTTTCTCGCTATGGCTCCTGCACCACACCATCTTGTTCCTGGAGTAAAACTGAACATACTTCAGCTGGTTCAAGACAGTTGCTACAGGTAAATTATCAATACGGTTACTGCAGGTAAATTGTGCCAGATGTATCACTTAGTCATTGTAAGGGATGTATAACTGAGTCATTGCGTCAGATACATCACCCAGTTATTGTGAGGATATATGACTAAGACGTTGTGAGGATATATAACTACGTCATTGTGTCAGATATATCACCCAGTTATTGTGAGGATATATGACTAAGTCATTGTGAGGATATATAACTGCGTCATTGTGTCAGATATATCACCCAGTTATTGTGAGCATGTAACCCTTAGATATTGTGTCTGATATATGACTAAGTCATTTTGTTAGATATAACACTGACTCACTGTGCTAGATGTATAACTAAGTCATTGTGTCGGATATATCACCTAGTCATTGTGTCAGATATATCACTTACTCATTGTGTCAGATATAACACTGACTCACTGTGCTAGATGTATAACTAAGTCATTGTGTCGGATATATCACTTAGTCATTGTATCTGATATATAACTAAGTCATTGTGTCAGATAGCCCCCTAGTCATTGGAATAAGTCATTGTGTCGGATAGATCCCTTGGTCATTGTCATTAGTCATTGTGTCAGATATATAATTAAGTCAGTGTGCCAGATGTATCCCTTAGTCATTGTGTCAGGTGTATTGTAAAAGTCATTGTGCCAGATATATTACTGAGTCATTGTGTCAGATATATCACTCAGCCAGTGTGTCTGATATATGGCTAAGTCATTGTGTCAGATATATCACTTAGTCATTGTGTCACATGTATTGTTTAAGTCATTGTGTCAGATATATCACTTAGTCATTGTGCCAGATGTATTACCAAGTCATTGTGTCAGATATATCACTTAGTCATTGTGTCAGATATATCACCTATTCGATGTCTCAGATATGTGTCACTGTGCTAGATGTATAAATAACTCCTTCTGCAAGATATATCACTAAGTCATTGTGTCACATGTATTGTTAAAGTCATTGTGTCAGATATATCACTTAGTCATTGTGCAAGATGTATTACTAAGTCATTGTGTCAGATATATCACTTAGTCATTGTGTCACATGTATTGTTAAAGTCATTGTGTCAGATATATCACTTAGTCATTGTGCCAGATGTATTACCAAGTCATTGTGTCTGATATATCACTTAGTCATTGTGTCAGATATATCACCTATTCGATGTCTCAGATATGTGTCACTGTGCTTGATGTATAAATAACTCCTTCTGCAAGATATATCACTTAGTCATTGTGTCACATGTATTGTTAAAGTCATTGTGTCAGATATATCACTTAGTCATTGTGCCAGATGTATTACTAAGTCATTGTGTCAGATATATCACTTAGTCATTGTGTCACATGTATTACTTAGTCATTGTGTCAGATATATCACTTAGTCATTGTGCCAGATGTATTACCAAGTCATTGTGTCAGATATATCACTTAGTCATTGTGTCAGATATATCACCTATTCGATGTCTCAGATATGTGTCACTGTGCTAGATGTATAAATAACTCCTTCTGCAAGATATATCACTTAGTCATTGTGTCACATGTATTGTTAAAGTCATTGTGTCAGACATATCACTTAGTCATTGTGCCAGATGTATTACTAAGTCATTGTGTAAGATATATCACTTAGTCATTGTGTCACATGTATTGTTAAAGTCATTGTGTCAGATATATCACTTAGTCATTGTGTCAGATATATCACTTAGTCATTGTGTCAGATATATCACTTAGTCATTGTGTCAGATGTATTACTAAGTCATTGTGTCAGATATATCACTTTGTCATTGTGTCACATGTATTGTTAAAGTCATTGTGTCAGATATATCACTTAGTCATTGTGCCAGGTGTATTGTTAAAGTCATTGTGCCAAAAATATAACTAAGTCATTGTGTCAGATAGATTAGTCATTGTCATTAGTTGTTGTGTCAGGTATATCATTAAGTCATTGTGTCAGATATATCACTATGTCATTGTGTCAGATATGTGATCAGGTCATTGTGTCAGATATATGATTAGGTCATTGTGTCAGATATATAACTAAGTCATTGTGTCAGATAGATCACTAAGTCATTGTCATTGGTCATTTTCAGAAGTCATTGTGTCAGATAGTTCCCTTAGTCAGTGTCATGAGTAATTGTGTCAGATATATCACTAAGTCATTGTGTCGGATGTATCACTCAGTCATTGTATCTGATATATAACTAAGTCATTGTGTCAGATAGCCCCCTAGTCATTGGAATAAGTCATTGTGTCGGATAGATCCCTTGGTCATTGTCATTAGTCATTGTGTCAGATATATAATTAAGTCAGTGTGCCAGATGTATCCCTTAGTCATTGTGTCAGGTGTATTGTAAAAGTCATTGTGTCAGATATATCACTCAGCCAGTGTGTCTGATATATGGCTAAGTCATTGTGTCAGATATATCACTAAGTCATTGTGTCAGATATATCACCAAGTCATTGTGTCACATGTATTGTTAAAGTCATTGTGTCTGATATATCACTAAGTCATTGTGTTACGTGTATTGTTAAAGTCATTGTATCAGATATATCACCTATTCGATGTGTCAGATATGTGTCACTGTGCTAGATGTATAAATAACTCCTTGTGCAAGATATATCACTAAGTCATTGTGTCACATGTATTGTTAAAGTCATTGTGTCAGATATATCACTAAGTCATTGTATCAGATATATCACTTATTCGATGTGTCAGATATGTGTCACTGTGCTAGATATATAAATAACTCCCTGTGCAAGATATATCACTAAGTCATTGTGTCACATGTATTGTTAAAGTCATTGTGTCAGATATATCACTAAGTCATTGTATCAGATATATCATTTATTCGATGTGTCAGATATGTGTCACTGTGCTAGATGTATAAATAACTCCTTGTGCAAGATATATCACTAAGTCATTGTGTCACATGTATTGTTTAAGTCATTGTGTCAGATATATCACTAAGTCATTGTGTCACATGTATTGTTAAAGTCATTGAGTCAGATATGTCACTAAGTCATTGAGTCAGATGAAACACTTAGTCATTGTGTCACATGTATTGTTAAAGTCATTGTGTCAGATATGTCACTAAGTCATTGTGTCACATGTATTGTTAAAGTCATTGTGTCAGATATATCACTAAGTCATTGTATCAGATATATCATTTATTCGATGTGTCAGATATGTGTCACTGTGCTAGATGTATAAATAACTCCTTGTGCAAGATATATCACTAAGTCATTGTGTCACATGTATTGTTAAAGTCATTGAGTCAGATAGGTCACTAAGTCATTGAGTCAGATGAAACACTTAGTCATTGTGTCACATGTATTGTTAAAGTCATTGTGTCAGATATGCCACTAAGTCATTGTGTCACATGTATTGTTAAAGTCATTGTGTCAGATATATCACTAAGTCATTGTGTCACATGTATTGTTAAAGTCATTGAGTCAGATAGGTCACTAAGTCATTGAGTCAGATGAAACACTTAGTCATTGTGTCACATGTATTGTTAAAGTCATTGTGTCAGATATGCCACTAAGTCATTGTGTCACATGTATTGTTAAAGCCATTGTGTCAGATGAAACACTAAGCCATTGTGTCACATGTATTGTTAAAGTCATTGTGTCAGATATGTCATAAGTCATTGTGTCAGATGAAACATTTAGTCATTGTGTCAGATGAAACACTTAGTCATTGTGTCAGATGAAACACTTAGTCAATGTGTCAGAAGTATACTTATCCGATGTGTCAGATATGTGTCACTGTGCTAGATATATAAATAACTCCTTGTGCAAGATTTATCACTAAGTCATTGTGTCAGATATATCACTAAGTCATTGTGTCGGATGTGTCGGGAACGTATCACTTTGCCATTTTGTTTGATGCATTGTTGCAAATGTTCCTGGTTGTGACAAGTAGTCGTATCCGGACAACAATATGAACTGCTACAGGTGTTATCATTCAACGCTATAACAATGTATCGCCTATATTCTTGTCAGGAGAGTGAGTGAGTGAGTGAGTATGGTTTTACGCCGCTTTGAGCAATATTCCAGCAATATCACGGCGGGGGACACCAGAAATGGGCTTCACACATTGTACCCATGTCGGGAATCGAACCCGGGTCTTCGGCGTGACGAGTGAACGCTTTAACCACTAGGCTACCCAATCGCCCAGTCAGGAAAGAGAACCCTTGCAATACAAACTCAGCTGAATCTTGACATGTTAGATTGTGAAGCGTCAAAACACTTTGAGAAAAGAGGATGTGAAGGAGTCAACAACTACGGCATATCATTTCATACTTTTGATTTTTATAAACAAATAATGATGCCATTCCAAGAAAATGGTACAATAGCTCACCTGGCCATATGACGACGTGGAAAGAACGCCTTGTCCTCTTCCTTGTCAGGTGATGAAAGTAAGCGATCAGGTCCTGTCCAGGGTGACAGATGGCCTCGTTTCTGTCCAACTGACGAGGGGTCAGACGAATGACGCCATCTAGCTGCTGGTATGAGGAGCTATACGTAATACAATGGAGACATTGATTTCGTTTTAATGTCACACTGTCAACATTACCTGCCTTACATAACATCAGCTGGCATGTACATGTAGTTCATGATATGCCGGAATGTAACAGTGCCCTCCCATCCATAATGAGTACAAGGGGATTGTCAGGTTTAATAATGTGATTACATATACAGTAAACTACGGTTATAACGAACTCATAGGGACTTCTAATTTTAGTTCGTTATAACCGTAGTTCGTTATAAGCATATATACAGCATAACTACAGCAAACAGTCGGGACTAAAAAGTAAGTTCGTTATATCCGTCAGTTCGTTATAAGCGTGTTCGTTATAACCGTATTTTACTGTATTGGGTTCATGATAATCCCCTGCTTAAGCAGGGACTATAGGTAGAGTGTCCGCCCGGAGAGCGGAAGGTCCGGGATTCGATCCCCGGCCGCGTCACATCAAAAGACGTGAAAAGATGGTACTTGTTGTTACCCTGTCTGGCACTCGGCATTTGGGGTTAAAACAAGGACTGGTCGGCTCGGAGTCAGTATACTGTGTCTGAGTGGGGTATTTATGTTAAACTGCGGCATGGTATCTCAGTGTGCTAGCACTTTTGAATGCGACCAGCCAGCCAGCTACGTCTATGGCGAAGAATTCATCAGACACTTCCCCCTCAAAAATAACGTTGCCCAATTTATCACGTCATCATCTTCAGAAATGACGTCATGATAGAAAAAATGTTTTATCGTGAAATAAACAACGCTTCGTTCTTCATTGTTCTTTAGGGGGCACGGGTTGCACAGCCCTCTAAGGCGCCCGATTCGCTGTGTAGAATTGCGTCCCTTGGGCACGCCAGAAACTTATGATTGTGGGTTCGAATCCCGGTTCGCCCCGGTTCGCCCCAATAATGCGTTTAGCTTTGCCAGCACCATACCCGTGCTCGTGGGTTTCACCGAAGTGGTATACGTCTGAGACCTGCATCACTTCGGGCTTTCCTCCCACATTAAGTTGACACGCCGTGATATTAATGGAATACTGTTAAAATCGGCGTTAAACCCAACTCACTCACTCACTCATTGTTCTTTAAGATTTATGGTGTAGCTATTTTATATATCAGGGATCAGACTAATTATATGTGTAATATTCTTGTACAGCGACGTTAAACCCCATGAACACCTCAAGTCAAAGGGGTCAAGTTGAAACCATGCGCCCCGTGCACATTATATTTTCCGGGGAACACTTGGCAACACTACTACAAATTGTTAACTTTGAGTTTCGATACGGTCTAGTTGATACTGTTGTTAAAGAATCGCCTTTAATTCCTATTGAATACCGGAAACTTTGCCATTATAGTACCTTTACAACACGTACGTGTAAAATGCGTTAGAATCAAGACAAGGTTTTAGAAGACCCGACTCTCACAAAACATCTCACCTTGTATGTTATAAGCTCATTTTTAGGGTATTGCTGTGCAACTATACTGTCCGTAATGTACTATACTACAGTAACAGATTAAAGTGTACGTTGTACAGTAATTTAAACGTACAACATTTACAAACAAATAAATTATCAAACGCAAACCCTCAGTAATCGTGTGAGTGAGTATGGTTTTACGCCGCTTTTAGCAATATTCCAGCAATATCACGGCGGGTGACACCAGAAATGGGCCTCACACATTGTACCCATGTCGGGAAACGAACCCGGGTCTTCGGCGTGACGAGCGAACGCTTTAACCACTAGGCTACCCGACCGCCCTTCAGTAATCGAAGTGGTAATTCAAGTAAAACATTCACAAAAACAATGAAATTCATTTACTTATCCGAATGGAGAAAGCATGCTTGAAAAGTTCCATTGATCATTGGTCCTTGTAAGACTCTCTGTCCGTCCACGTACACCTGCCACCTCCCACGAGGACTTGCCCGGGGCAGGGGGGCACAGAGGGCGATGAGGAAGAGCGAGAGCCACATTGTCAGCCGGGGGCGACTGGTGATGCTGCTTCATGAGACAGCCGTATACCTATATATATATGCTTCTGACGCGGATGCGACTAAACATATTGATGATGATCCATGACAGATCCGTCCTGATCCCGACTCTGTTAAAGAAGTGTCTGTCAAACATCGTATCCTAATTGCATGAATCGATGCTCCGGATATTAATCACTGGCTTGTTTTCAGGCCGCCTCCATATAGCTGGAATATTACAGAGTGCTTCCTTAAACAACGTCAAACTAACGTACCATACAGTAAACTACGTTTATAACGAATACGCTTATAACGAACTGACGGATATGACGAAATGTGTTTTTGATCCCGTCCATTTGCTGTATACTTGCTCAATATATGCTGTATATTTGCTTATAACGAACTACGGTTATAACGAACTAAAATTAGTGGTCCCTTTGAGTTCGTTGTAACCATAGTTTACTATACTTCGCGCGGGCGCTCATTTCTTTCAGCTCTCTTCTACACTCGGTAAAGAGAGGCCCTATGTTTTGTATTTCAAGATTACGGTACTAAATAAACCATGCCTTTGCATTTGTACAGATAATATAGAATAAAACGTCACATCCTCGGCGCTGTTTAAACACTTATACCATCATGAAAGTGATACCAAAAGCGTTGAGGCTACCACACGTGTTTCGTATACAGTAAACTACGGTTATAACGAACTCAAAGGGACTACTAATTTAAGTTCGTTATAACCGTAGTTCGTTATAAGCATATATACAGCATAACTACAGCAATCAGTCTGGACCAAAAAAGTAAGTTCGTTATATCCGTCAGTTCGTTATAAGCGTGTTCGTTATAACCGTAGTTTCCTATACCGTTAAACCCAACACATTCACTCATTCATAAAAACGAAAACGTTAACATGGATTTGAAATCATTGTACATTTAATTTGATACGCTACAGGGATTTATTTGTCAAAATTATATTTGTTCAACTCATCCTTAGTGTGGCCTAAATTAGGAAAATTAATCATAAGTAATATCAATCTTTCATATACAAACGTCATATATACCGGAGGCCATAACGGCGCTTCAGCAGCGCTAACAACCGGGTTTAGGCGACAGTGGGTGGTGGTTCTACTTCCTAACCCTGAAGGATGATTGGCTGTTTATTTTCTACACCGGAACCTCATATCGCTATATTCAATCATAATTTCATCTTAAGTCAAGTCCTTCCCGGGACTATTTCTGAAATTATTTATGAATTATTCAGAAAAGTTTTTCTTATTTTATTAGCTCACTTGACTAAAACCAAGTGACTTTATGTCATGGTTTGGTTGCCCTTCGTCGCCAGTTTGGGGGTAATATAAAAATCTTTTCCTCAGTAAGCAAAGAATCCAGTGTCGCTGAAACTTCACCTGAAAGCTCACACAATGATTTCTAATACGTCCCCCGTTTCAGCGATCTAAATTGAAAGTTTATCTTTTTTGAAACAATTGCAAACAATTAATGAGAAAATAAATTAATCTCTTATCCAGAAGATATATATGTAACAATTGTGCTTTTTATCATAAAAGCCTGAAACTTGGTACAAAGGAAGTTGTTGATGTGGTTGGTAATTTCACAGCGGTAGCCACTTCAATTTTATATTCTGTCGACCTTGGCAACCATTTTCCAATATTACAATATCTTAGAGTGGATTCTCAAGTTAACGGCTCCTTTGTTATCTTTTAATAACTATATACAGTGAAAGGTCACTAAGTGTGTCATTTAAAAGTAAAATTACATGTAGTTTATAAAAAAATATCAATAATTACACAATTTGGTTCTTTAGGAATATTGAGGCTTTGCAAAGTTTGATAAGTATATTGTAATAATCATGCACAAGCTGAAATCAGCTTAAAAATAATATATGATTGGTTGGTTTGTTGTTTAACGCCGCACTCAGCAATATTCCAGCTATATGACGGAGGCGGTCTGTAAATAATCGAGTCTGGACCAGACAATCCAGTGACTAAAATCATGAGCATCGATCCACGCGGATCGATGACATGCATCACCCAGGTCAGCGGGCCTGACCACCCGATCCCGTCATAGCGTTTTATTATTGGGACTCTTATTCGGATATTAGAAACAAGTTGGTTTTAAAATATTACAGTGAATACCCTACAAATATTATCTTTATTTGTTTCTCGTATTCCCCAGAATACCGATATTGTATTTTTGCGTAATATGTGAAAAAGAATGTTGAATGTCTATATATCTAAAAAAAACCTGCCTGGCAAAGGAATATATGCTCTTAAAAATTGAACTAGACCAAAGAATTACAAACGTTAGCGAAACATTACGAGGCTGGAAACATTCACCTATATACAGTAAACTACGGTTATAACGAACTCATAGGGACTACTAATTTTAGTTCGTTATAACCGTAGTTCGTTATAAGCATATATACAGCATAACTACAGCAAATAGTCGGGACTAAAAAGTAAGTTCGTTATATCCGTCAGTTCGTTATAAGCGTGTTCGTTATAACCGTATTTTACTGTACTGCAGTCTTAAGGTTCAAAACATAACTATTATGTACGTATGAAATACATCACCATCGAATCACCATTTTTTGTTTGTTTCATATTTAGCCACCAGCAAACATGGATGTATATTTTGTTTTGTATATTATTTGATTATGTTTGTATTTTAGGTCCGGTGTGTTACTTACTTTAAATTTCTCGTTTATTTGTAATTACGCCCTTACTATCTTTGTCAAAAAATCGAAATAAAAAATGGCGTTTTTTAACAAGAATTGATGAAATAAACCCCTATGAAAATAAATTTAATCTCATCGCAACCTCTTGCATATTTCTTGGAAATCGACGCGACACGCCATTTCTTGGAAATCACCAAGACACGTCATTACTTGGAAATCACCAAGACCCGGCATTTCTTGGAAATCACCAGGTCATTTCTTGGAAATCAACGGGTAATTTTAAAATTCAGGGGTGACAGGTTGTTGAAATAGTGATAAAATGATCAACGAATTTATTTCTCCAACACACTTTATCATATAACCGGATGTTAATTATGTTGAACTTGTACTTATGCCGCAGTGAGTTTGAAGTTTTTCCCCATCAGTATCACATAGAGTAAACTACGTTTATAACGAACACGCTTATAACGAACTGACGGATATAACGAACTTATTTTTTAGTCCCGACCATTTCTTGTGTATATGCTGTATAAATGCTTATAACGAACTACGGTTATTACGAACTAAAATTAGTGGTCCCTTTGAGTTCGTTATAACCGTAGTTTACTGTATTAGGAATGACTATCTCTCCATCCCGAACATCGACCTGGCCGAACTTGACTCGATGGCTGCCAAATCACCAGTTCCCGGGGACAGTGCTATTTATGTCATGAACCCAGAGGACAATCCGGATCTGTAGTGATGTTCAGCATTATCATCATCTAATGGTGGAAATGAGCCTATTGACACAGCCATTGTCAACGGAAACACCTGATTTGTTTGTTTGTTTGTTGTTTAACGCCGCACTCAGCAATATTCCAGCTACATGACGGCAGTATGTAAATAATCGAGTCTGGACCAGACAATCCAGTGATTGACATCATGAGCATCGATCCACGCAACTGGGATCGATGACATGCATCAACCAAGTCAGCGAGCCTGACCACCCGATCCTGTAAGTCGCCTCTTACGACAAGCATAGTCACCTTTTACGGCAAGCATGGGTTGCTGAAGACCTATTCTACCCCGGATCTTCACGGGTCGGAACACCTGTAGTATGGGCGTTTTCAGCTGCAGACGACGACACAAGAGAGACTTTTTATGTTTTAAGACCGATAATAATGTGGCCCTCACGCAGTGGTTAGTGTGTTTTTATTTAATTGTGTATGTTCTGAAATAGATTTCATCCTGTTTGATAAGCTGATGTTCATATATCAAACGTATACAATATGTTAATGGGTTATCGGCAGCCATTGTTAAATGTATCGATGAATAGACTGTTGGTAGATCGAGTTTTAATAAGCACCGTTTTTTGTGTGAAAAGGCTTATCTTAAAAGAGGTATCAATGGGAGAAAGGATACTTCTTTTCAACCAATAAGAATCAAGCATTATTCAACGTATGGACAGAATTGCAGTCAGACTACCTTAAATTGAAAACATAGTAGGTTTACCTCCCTTCAACCATGAATACAAGAACGTTTTGAAAACGGTACTCTTTTTGATTTCATAATTACACATTATATTCCGGTAGTGAAAAACGTACCCAATATTACTATTATGTACTTGTATCTGTGTCAGTGAATATGGTTTTACGCCGCTTTTAGCAATATTCCAGCAATATCAAGGCGGGGGACACCAGAAATGGGCTTCACACAATGTACCCATGGGAATCGAACCCTGGTCTTCGGCGTGACGAGCGAACGCTTTAACCACTAGGCTACCCGACCGCCCGTCGAAAGGATAAGAGGTGAAGTGAAATGGGGTTTAACGTTATTGCGGACTGTCCGGACTGACGCCGATTTATAGTGCTAGCACACTGAGATACCATGCCGCAGTTTAACATGAATACCCCACTCAGACACAGTATACTGACTCCGACCCGACCAGTCCTTGTTTTAGCCCCTTCATGCCGAGCGCCAGACAGGGTAACAACAAGTACCATCTTTTAACGTCTTTTGGAATGACGCGGCTAGGGATCGAACCCCGGTCCTTCCGCTCTCCGGGCGGACTCTCTACCACTAGACCACGGAGGCGGTCTCGAAAGGATAAGAACAATGAGCGAAAATACCCATGTCGCTTTTTCAGCTTGCGTTAGTTATGTCCTTACAGATCTTTCGAACTGTTTGTTTCATTGTTGTTTAACGCCGCATTCGGCAATATTCCCACTATATGGTCTGTAAATAATCGAGTCTGAACCAGATAATCCAGTGATTGATATCATGAGCATCGATCTACGCAATTGGGATACGATGACATGCATCAACCAAGTCAGCGAACCTGACCAACCGATCACGTTAGTCACCTCTTACGACAACCCTGCTGAAATCGAAGCAATATTTGCACACTGTAATACCGCTAACAACGTCTTCGTGACGTCACTACTTTGTGTGTACCCGTTTTCGGTTCATGATAAACTTAGCCCTGCGACTTTGCTCTGTCTGAAGATAGTTGACATCTACATGCAAAATGGCACACCATACCCATCCCTCATCCTACTCCTCATCCTATACATATATCGTAAGACACGAATGACTCACAAGACAATTGAATCGAAATATATGCATTTATTTCATCAAAATATGCACGCAACAGAGTGAAAATAAATAAATACTGTCTTCTATTCCAAACATCACAGAAACAGCCTCTGGAATGCCAATAAAGATAAACGATGGCGCAATGTTCTCTACCGAGAGTTACTTCCCTTACCATCAACAGGATGATGAGAAGGCTTTTTACAATTATCGTAACGTAACATCTGTACAAACAAATCTTTGTCAATTGAAAACTTAAGAGAAGAAACACAACCATGACTTTAATGAGGATAGAATATCCACGGGCTACACGTGACTCGACGTACAAGAGTCTAATTAGGTGTCAATAATTAATTGAACTGCAACGTATGCACCAACAAATATGCATCATTAGCATGTGCATACAACTCATTCGCTTCTTCAAACATTACAAATAAAAGGGGCAGGATAGTTTGTAATATAATTGTCGATACATATTGAATATAGTTTATATTATGATGACTGTATAATGTACTTGCTAATTGGTATTGATTGGCAGAAATTAATATATGTCCAAAACAGACCAAGTTAAGCAAGAAAAATGTGCACCCGTCTTTTAGGAGTGAAACAGAAAAAAGGGAATTATTCAAACGTGTTTCTTAATTATGCAATATTAAGCAACAAGAGGAATTATAACCAACGGATTTCTAAATCTTTCAAAAATGTTTTTTGCAAAGCATAGTAATAAGGTATATAGCAGCTGTCCAAATTTGGTTTCATTGGATCATTTAACAAGTTGCGTGGCTTTCCATTCCGCTTAATTTTGTGAGTACGAGTATTCCAAAGGCCTTGGCTGTTTTAACAAATAAATTCAAGAAATACATACAACTAGGTACGGCCTTTTGCTAACTTATCCCCTGAATCTGAAAAATATAATCGGACGATTGGCCCAAAACTATACGACAGCTGTACTCGTTATCCATTAAACCAAACACTTTGCCTATCTGTCGCAGTGTAATCGGATACTGACACATCAAGGGGATTAACTCTTCATTATTGATGGGAATTTTTGTCGCGGGTTTGGACTGGGTCGAATGTGATTTTTATTTTGAAAACATTTATGTTTCGTTTGGTTCAGCAGTAGAAAAGAATACGCCGGCGTTGATGAACACGAATATGTAGTGTAATGCATCATCAATAAATGCATATCGAGAATGGGTTAGACTTATGGACTCTAACATACATGTTATTTTATAAATAAAATGTACAGATATATACATCGCGGGCCAAGAAATGGCAGTACCAATTCTTTAATGTATGTTTTGCTTCCACCTTGCCGGTTTTATGGAATATTGAAAATAGGATAAAGAAGGCAGCGCTACCAATGAAACATGTATAGCTCATGATGATAGAGTTATGTCCCTTGCACCATATTCTCGCGAGATCCAACTCTAAACAAAGCCACTCTCAGTTGTTTGAAAATACGTAAATGAAAAATATACTTCGGCGCTTACACCATCCATGAATATACGAAATAATGAGTGCGAGTGTAATTACACTGAGACAATCTGCTCTCTAAATATATATGTATATGGATATTGATTTTTCTGTTTCTTACTTTTGGATCCAACCATACTTTAGGGCCCGACCATTTAATATTCGGGGGGAGGGGGGAGGAGAGGAGAAGGCGAGTCGGGTATGCAAAATATACCATAACTATTTTTTACCCACGGCACATTACTTTACCCACCCACCATCGTCTTGTTAATGATTTGTTTTTTGGGCAAAACCTAAGGAAAACATTACATTTGTTGCAGTGAATTGAATTTAACACCCCTGCCCCCAAAATATCAGATGTCTGGCCCGAGGGACTAGTTCTGTCAGGTGTTGTCTGTCAACCTCCGAAACAGCTACAACTCTTAGCTCACAACTGCATCACGACCTTCAACACCTTTCTCACATCATTTACTCTAAACTAATATACAGGTAAAAATGCGTAAGAATAAATCCTCATTAGGACATCTTATTCCGATAGAAACTCACGAATACATTCTTCAAAACATAACATTACATTCCATCTCTTATCTCAGCAAACTGTACAGCCAAGTCCTTTCAACAACTTGTGGATGAATCCTTGGTCTTTCCATCACGTAACGAAGCATGCCGTCAACACTCACTGAAAGCTTCGGGTCGGCTCCGAGCCCGCAGTGACCGCCACACACCACCACCACAGACACAAGCACAGGTGAACTCCATAAGAATCCCCATCTGTGCCAAGACAAGATCCATGTGTAACCATGTGGCTGTCGAAATGCTCTGGATTCAAACTTCTACCGGTTTCTCCCTCACGAAGTGCATACCAGAATGTCATGACATAAATTCAATGTATACCAAATGAGTGTTCAAGTGCATTCGAATGGGGAAAATAATACCTGCATGATGCTATCCTTGAAATTATATTCCACATGGATATTCTTCCTTACCCGTGCCCACTAGCCTGGACACGTGTGTGTAGTCACGTGTGTGGCAGTCTAAAGAGACACCTCTGTGTAATGTTATCCAATGGGCGTTTTCCTGTGCTGGTATCCAACATGGACATGTCTTGTCCTGCCTCACAAATACATGTGTGTCGGTATCCCAAACGGACACATGTGAACACTTCCAAACTCAGACAGTACCAACTGTGTCATCTCCAGTGCTGATTACCCATAGGGAACGTTTATCATATCAAAACCAATATCACATCACCTGTCGGATGAAATCGTGTCCTGCGAATGGACATGGAATACCAGTCTATCATATGCTACTCAAAATAAGTAACGGACCATCTGATTCTTTCATACTAGTGTCGTTAATCTTTCATGTCATATAACTATGGTAATATGAAAGAATGAAAGAACTGGCGGCCCTTAACGTATTTTGAGTAGTATCAATGCACATGAACGTTTCACACCAGGCATGTCACAACTACTTCTCTTATCCATCACTTCTGTGAAATATATGGAAGAAATACCACTACTGTATGAAACGATGGTTCCAACTGCAGCATCACACAAACTCGGGATCATTGTCAGCATTTGAGAGTGAAAGACTTGACAGGGAGGAAACGGAGTTGGAGGGACTTCTATCTTGGGACACAGCCCTGACCAGCCGCGGGGTCTTGTCCTTGCCATTGTTTAGGAAGGTACTCCGACCAGTGGTCAGCGGGGTGGCCATTCTTGGGACGGGCGTTTCGGATCGATCCTGCAGCTCCTCTCGGTCGTGGGCAATCCGAGCCATCTCGGACAGCTCGTCATCGTCATCCGGGTTATAGAACACTGGCTCCTCGTTGGACGTCTCACTTAGGTTCCGATGCTGGGTCTCTTTGTCGAAACTTAAACTTGTTGACAGATTACTGAAGGATTTTGATTTTCTGTTTTTGCTGAGATTGGGTGCAGGGATTCTGGATTTGGGGCCATCCGTGTCTTCCTTCCTCGGACGAAGCTTTGCCATTTCCTTCAGTTTATAGACAAGCGCTTCTGCGGTGTTGCCGAATGTGTCCTCATCACCGGAATCATTTTCGTCCTCCATCCCCGAGGATGATACCCCGTTAAGGGGCGTGGACGTGAGGTTGTGAGATGAGGATGCGAAAGACGGGAGGGACCGTGAATGGTTGAGGGGGGAATCCAAATTGTTATTGCGGTGCACAGGAGTCGAATGCGAGGACACACACTTTGAGTTGCCAGAACTCAACGATGAGAGAGACGAATTTGAAAATCTCACAGAATTCAAAGACCTGTTGGAGGCAGCTTTAGCGTCCGGATTTTTCAAAATTCCCTGAGAAACTGTATTGTCACGATTGTTCACACTGTCGTCATCATTGGCGCCACCAACTGTGTTGTTAACAGATTCACGCAGTTCTTTCTCCTTCAATTTTTTGAATAATTTCTCCATTTGTAGGTAAGCTTTCGCGTCTTCGGGAGGGGCATCCAGCTTATCCGGATTAACAACAATACCATTCTCCATGGGAACGCGAAGAGCTTCTTTAATCTCCGCAAATGACCTAGAGGTCAATTCAAGTTCTTTCCTATTCATAGAATTGGGTGTCATGGCTCTTTTGGGCCTAGGAGGCAACTTTCTTTTCGTGTCGTGAACCGTGGAATTGACCCAGGCTTCTGTCCTGCTCTCTGTAGACTTACCAGAACCGATAGAGATCTCAGACTTCCTTCTCGTCATCTCCTGTCGAATCATGGAAGGATCAGGCGTCCTAGCCCTCTGACGAGATCGAGGGGAATCACAGTTTTCACTTGAAGCACTTCGAATAAACCTGTTTGTCCTCCTACTAGAGTCGTACTTAGTGTTTCCGTTTGATGTCAAGGTAATGCAGTGAGCACCATCATCAGTCCTGGCTACCATCAAACACGACTCCTCGCTGGCTGCCTGACGAACAAGCCTCCGTGGCTCAGCACTGGAAGTCCTCTGTCTCATCTCTGCAGCACTCACAGTTCTTGATTTAGGTCTGGATCTCTCGTCACTAGTCACTGATTCTGATTCTTCATCAGATAGGGATATTTCCGTGGAGGTTCTACTGAAACTGGTGCGAACATCAGCCACGCTCTGAGATCGCTTAGACAAGGGATAGTTGGAGCTCCTCGACACAGCACTGGTTCTGGAAACGACGCTCCTCCTTTCCCGTGCAGCAGTTGCCGTTCTCGTTTGACCTTGACCCGGGCCAGGTGTTGATGACCTACGAGCCTGGAAAATACTGGTATAGGATTTCTCCTGGGGCACGGTAGATGCTGGACGAGGTGGGAGTTGTTTCCGAGGCGTCCCTGGGGTTGTGGGCCGGGTTATTAACCTCCTCTCCCCTTTCTGAGGACCAGCAGGTTTATCATTGTCATTTGCCACAACCTGAGACGAAGGGGTTGAGGGCCTGGGGATACCACTAGGGCGGGGGATGCAGGTTGGGGTGGAGGGTCTCTCACTCAGCACTGGGGTTGAAGGACGGCTGCCTGACTGACCTATCACCTTGTATTCATCCACAGAAGACGGGGTAGTGGCAGCAGAGTGGGTAGGAGTCTTAGGTCTCTGGTAATTACGTGTAGGCGTTTTAGATCTCTGGTAACTGTTCGTGGGCGTTTTAGGTCTCACAGAGCTCGTGGGAGTCTTAGGTCGGGATTCGGAAATAAGACCACTTGGCCTTGACACTGGCGTTTTGGGTCTCGACACAGATGTGGGAGTTTTGGGTCGGTTGGGGAGTGAACGTTTTGGGGTGTCCCCGTTCTGAGACAGATAGCCCGAGTCGTTGCTCGAACTGGTCCTGCTGACCCTGGTGCCGGCACTCGACTCCAGGGACTGGCAGACCGTCCTGGCCTTCTCCCGCACAGCCCGCCACGAGCTGGTAGCTGACGCTGTCCTAGACGACAGCGAGTGAGCTCGGGAACTATCGGAGCTCCCCTGAGATCGAGGCGAGTCGGAACTTTGGGACGCTGATCCGTTCTGAGATGCTGCTCCAACCTGAGGCACAGACAGCTGCTTGTTGAGAAGGTTCCGAAACTCTTCCAGTGTCATCGTGTTGATCTGGTTCATGTCGATGTCGCCGGAGGACGCGGCGTTGCCGTCGTCGTCCACGTCTAACGCCTCCATGGACATCTTCCGTGGGGTGCACGGGGCTGTCTTACTCAGACCACTCGACCTGAAACGAACAAAAGCCTGGTAAGTCACACAGCGAAAGATACCTGTGGCAAACATTGTTAATCAGCATGTCAACCAAACTTCGCACGTATCTGCAAAGGTGAATGGTGTGTTACTTAAAACCGTCCAAATAGGCGTGGGTCCGTGAAGATCCGGGGTAGAATAGGTCTTCACCATCCCATGCTTGCCGTAAAAGGCGACTATGCTTGTCGTAAGAGACGGCAAACGGGATCGGGTGGTCAGGCTCGCTGACTTGGTTGATGCATGTCATCATATCCCAATTGTGTGGATCGATGCTCATGATGTCAATCACTGGATTGTCTGGTCCAGACTCGATTATTTACGGACCGTCGTCATATAGCTGGAATATTGCTGAGTGCGGCGTTAATCAACAAACAAACAAACCAAATAGGCGTGCATGAGATACTGTGTGTATCATTTATTGTTGATACCCTCGCTCAGATCACATGGTGAGTGAGTGAGGGAGTGAGACACATCGCCCTGGAGTATTTTGAAGGAGTGAGTGGGTGAGCCAGGTTTAACGTCGCAATCATCAATATTCCAAATCAATCACGGCGGCCAGCTAATAATCCAGTTTGGACCAGACAAATCAGTGATTGATATTATGAGCAACCCCGGGGATCGTTGACAGGCAGTCAAATCACCGAACCTTACCAGGTGATCTATTTAGTCGCCTCAACGACAAACATGGGTAGCCAATTCTAACTCAGATATCACATTGTGTCGTCACTAGACAATAATATCCACATGCACATATTCAACAAAAATAAATTGTTTCCTTGGTTAAATGTGTAATCATACAGAATGCGGTCATCCCTAAATCTTCAACCAGTCTCTTGATACATCAATAACAAAATAAAGTTCAGTAAACTACGGTTATAACGAATTCAATTTCATTATAACCGTAGTTCGTTATAAGCATGTATAAAGCATATATACACAAACGGCCGGGAATAAAATAAGTTCGTTATATCCGTTAGTTCGTAGTAAGATGTTCGTTATAAACGTAGTTTACCGTATTCACTGAAGGAACCATTTCATATACTTGTTTTTAAGATTGGAAAAAAAAATTAAAATCAATCCCACCAAACAAAATGATAAAAAAAAACAAAAAAATTCCCAACAACAAGACAAATAGCTTGATACGCCTGGTGTCGTGAAAAAAGTGTTTGTGAAAAAAAACTAAAATTGTTTAGTTCCTCTTTCCACATACAAAAAATTAATGGTGGTGCCTTAACACACACAACCCTAGCATGTAGACCATCTAACAATGAAACCTCAGACGCCCTGACTCCATCAAACAGTTATTAGTGACTGTTCCTGGACGCACTGAACTGAGCCCTCACACCTCAATCATCTCAACCACCATCGCCCCGTCAGGCGTTCCTGGGATATACAAAAAGTGTTGTTCGGTGGACATTAAGATTAACATAAATTATCAAAATTGGTTAATATATCGGAAGATGGGAGCGCGTTGCCTCCTACGTCCAAACCCTTCAGTGTACCATCCGAGATACCTGACTTGTGTACGATGTATCTCGATGGCACATTACTGTGCTAATGTGTATCGTGACTGGTGATCCCAATACTTGTGCCACGCATGGCCGCATCTTCAAACCTTTACATGTACATTAACATAGCATCAACATGACTGATGTTATTCAGGTTTACATGATGGCAACAAATGAGTGGTCGGTGTTGTTTTCAACAATTTCTGCCAAGTACAATAGCTGGGTAAGTGTACACTTCCACCCGCAGTTAACTAGTGACTGAAGCTGCTGAAGCGGAGTCGTGGGAATGTGGAGATGCGATGATGTTCGTGCTTCCCTATAGCCGATACCATACTGTATTGTCGGTCAGTGAGGTGAAAGGGCGGTCGGGTAACCTTGTGGTTAAAGCGTTTGCTCGTAACGCTGATGACTCGGGTTCGATTCCCAACATGGATACAATGCGTGAAGCCAATTTCTGGTGACCCTCGCCTTCATATTGCTAAAAGCGGCGTAAAACAACTCACTCACTCACTCATTGAGGCGAAATGGGGTTTAACGTCGCATTCAATGTCAGTGCAATCATATTGCGACGTGTGTGTGTGTGTGTGTGTGTGTGTGTGTGTGTGTGTGTGTGTGTGTGTGTGTGTGTGTGTGTGTGTGTGTGTGGTGCTAACCCATTGAGATACCATGCCGCATTTAAACCTGAATACCCCACTCGGACACATTATACTTCCTCAGAACCGACCAGTCATTGTTTTATCTCCTTAATGCCGAGATCCAGGCAGGATAACAACAAGTACCATCTTTTAACTTCTTTTGGTATGACGAACCACCAACCTCCCTCTCCCTGGGTAGACTCTCTATTCACTAGAAATGAGAGTGAGTGAGTATGGTGTTACGCCGCTGTCGGCAATATTCCAGCAATATCACAGCGGGCGACACCAGGAAAGGGCTTCATAATTTGTATACATGTGGGGAATCGAAACTTGGGTCTTAGGCGTGACGAGCGAACGCTTTAACCACTTGGCTACCCCACCGCCCGAAAGAAAAATGAGAATTGAAACGTCTGCATCCTCTTCAAGATGCAGCATCACAGTTCTGAGGTGACTGGGTTGTTGTTTCTTAATCTGTGTTCGACTGGGTAACGTGACCCATCCACGATTGTTACATATAGCACCGCAAGAACACAGCAGGCGTAAGCCCCGTTAAGATCCGGGGTAGAATAGGTCTTCAGCAACCCCCCATGCTTGACCTATAAGGCGAATATGCTTGTCGTAAAAGACGACTAACGGGGTGGTCGGGTGGTGACCAAGATAATACAGTGCTGCCTCGACGCAATATTCCGGGCCCCGAAATAGTGAAGTCAATTTGCATTCGTGACCAACTCGTGTTATTCCGGGACAAGCCGAATAGCGACTCGTGCCCCTCTCGTGACCATTTTTGTGACCGGGTTCCGTCTTAGCGCAAACGGACATACCTACAACAATTGTCAATTCGTTGCGTAATGGTTCACACATATTTCCCCATATATTATATATATTTCAGATGCAATTGTAAGCACATCGGGACATGAGGAATTATACAGTATCACTGAACACATTTAACTGTGTCTTTGGTATATTTTTAGACGCAAGACATATGTAAAATCAAAAATTATTTCTGAGGGATTCTTTGACGAAGAACTTGAAATCATACGCGCAGTGTGATTGGTTTGTCGTATTTTCGCACATAACATTCATCGATAGGGGGACGAGTCTTCTTGCAGGTTACGGAAGGGGCGAATCGTGACGAATGGTCAATTTGAAAGGCTTATACATGCCTTGCTAACTCCAAATCAAAGTGCTTACCATTTTTTCAATTTAACATTCAGTATACTGTTTTCAAAATCGACTCGCGAACGATAAGCGGATAGATATGGCTGCAAATTAATTCGTGCACTTTAAATACTCCATTGCCGTAACAGGTATTACATAAATAGCGGAAACAGCCGAGGAAACCCGAGTGAACCAAGGTGAATCATATCCAATTGAATAAAAACTAAGTACGGGGAGCATTGAGCGACACCTACACAATCCGATATGTCAAATCAGCTATCTACTGGGCTCTGTGAATTAAGCCCATTGCTTTCCTATCAGCAGATCTACACGCACTGTCGGCTGTGTATAAAACACACGTACAGTAGTGTCCAAGAACACGTTTTAATCAAAGCACAGTAAATGAGATCAAATAGAACGCGACATTCACACATATCACACCTTAACCTCTCATAGAGTCAATTACAACATTCCACAACGAGAACTCGGCCAACGGAAGGCATTCGTGACCACTCGTGTCTTTCCGGGACAAGCCGACGTTACGGAAAAGGGCGAGTGGTGACGAATGAAGGGAGGGTTGAAGCTTCCCTCTCAACATGAGTTATCTGCCTTGTTTTGTGAGACAAAGGTTCCATGGTGTAACATTGTGAGGTGTGTTCAGTGTTGGGAGTGATTAACATGATCGGGGGGCCAGCGGTAACAAGGCTCATTAGAAGAGGCTTATGAATAATAATGGGTATTATAGGTATTTTACGAGCTGAGAAGGCTATTGATAGTACAAGTATACATTACATTACATACTGGCGTTTTGTTATGTTTCGAAGCCTCGGGCAGGTTTGGATTAGAAATTAATCGAGTAAGCTTTAATGCCGCTAATGGTAGTATTTCATGGCTATCAGCTGAGGTACCACTACCCCCTGTGGATGGGGATAGTGTGATGGGTCAATCTGGCAACAGTCCTACCCTGGTGCTGAGTGAAAGACCCTCCGCCCTACTCTGCATTCCTCGCCCTACTCTGCATTCCTCGCCCTACCCTGCATCCCTCGCCCTGCATCCCTCGCCCTATCCTGCATCCCTCGCCCTACCCTGCATCCCTCGCCCTACTCTGCATCCCTCGCCCTGCCCTGCATCCCTCGCCCTACCCTGCATCCCTCGCCCTGTCCTGCATCCCTCGCCCTGCTCTGCATACCTCGCCCTACCCTGCATACCTCGCCCTACCCTGCATCCCTCGACCTACCCTGCATCCCTCGCCCTACCCTGCATCCTTCGCCCCGCCCTGCATCCCTCGCCCCGCCCTGCATCCCTCGCCCCGTCCTGCATCCCTCGTCCTGCATCCCTCGCCCTGCATCCCACGCCTTACCCGGCACAACCCACCCTGCCCTGCATACCACGCCCTACCCTGCATCTCTCGCCCTGCCCTGCATCCCTCGCCCTGTCCTGCATCCCTCGACCTGCTCTGCATACCTCGCCCTGTCCCGCATCCCTCGCCCTGCCCTGCTTCCCTCGCCCTACCCTGCATACCACGCCCCTCCCTGCATCCCTCGCCCTACTCTGCATCCCTCGCCCTGCCCTGCATCCCTCGCCCTGTCCTGCATCCCTCGCCCTGTCCTGCATCCCTCGACCTGCTCTGCATCCCTCGCCCTACCCTGCATCCCTCGCCCTATCCTGCATCCCTC